ACACAAAGAAATTTTGTAATGTACAAAGTGTTAATTGGGTAGAAGCTAAAATAAAACTATTAGAATTTTAGATAACAAATTTCGCTAATTGGTTAAAAAGTAAAGTAAGATTAAATAAGCAAGTTGAGTGACGCAATCTAATTGACGGGACTGAGTAGAGCTCAGCTAAAATTCAAATTGAACAAAAGTCAAGTTAACAACAGTGGTAATACGGGGTAGAGATTTAATAAGGGGTGGGTGGGAAGAAAATATTATCCAATTAAGAAACAAACAAGCAAAAAGAGACGAAACATAAAATTACGTATTTGGTGTTAAGATAGGTAAGGTCCATTATAGATTTAATGACTGAACAAACTTCCTCGTTTGTATGCAGAGTTCAAGTTTTAGTATGTGAATTGCCATTGCTTCTGAGGCTTGAAGAAGTTTGATTTGTACTCTTTTTGGCAAGATATTCACGTATTCTATGGATGACTTTGAAGTTACTTTGTGGGTTTCCTTGGTGCTGCGATTCGATCAAGTGTTCCAGAATACAGCTTCAGGGGAAACAGTAAATATTACTGTACAACACTGTGTGATTTATCAAAATAAAATCTTATCTATAATGGAGTTATGCTCTACCACAGTGCCCAAGTTTTATACTTATATCAATGATACTACTCACTGCCTCTTCATTGAAGTAAATATTTGTCGGTCACTCACACTATCTCGGAGTCCAAAGCCGAAGTTGTACTGCTGGAGAATACAGATGTAACAGCAGAAAGATATTTCCTTTAGACGACCAACAAAGCAGCCTCTCACCGTTGTAGGAAGAGGCGTTGGAGAAAGCCAACCACGAAAATTATACATTCCGACTTTGCAGAAGTCCACAATCGATACAATAAGATCTGAACACGAACACAACTTCAAATGCCAACTGATAAACGGGCCATGTGTATAATTGGTGCCAAGTAGTTGTTTCATTTCATTCTGAAGTCAGGCACTCAGGCAAGCAAAATGATAGTTACTGCATAATCTTCAATTACATAAAGTAAAGTAAATGCAGACTGAACATATATTAGCACATCTGTTTAGATTACCAAAAGTCAGCAGGTAAATTAAAAGAGGAGGATCAGGGAAGAAGCGTCAGTCATTTCTGGTACCACTTTCAATCACTCATTCATCTCGAAAGAAAGAAGAGTTCATCTTGCAGTCTCAGATACACTTCACTGGACCTTTTTCTGTAGCTATGCTGTAAGGTTTATCCGGATCTGAGGGAAACCTTTACAAAATTATTAAATTTGAGCAAGCTTATTTCCACTAAACAATGAGTCGATGTCATGTATGCCTTTCGACTACAATGTGTCACTATAGATAGTTGCCCTACTAACACTGGGTTATACATTATAAAGACGCGGCTACCGATAAGTGTGGCGAGCAATACTCAAGGCACTCTAAGGCGAAATCCAGTGCACACAATGAGAGGGATTCGGATTGTTGAGAAGGTAGGAGACAAGTGTTGGTGGGCACCGGTGGAAGGTCGTGAAAAGTGGATTATTTGCTGATGTCTTCACTGGGTTGAATGATGAGTGACGAGACGAGTTGATGGTTTCCCGTGGTAAATCATTCTATGAAATACCACGAGTGACCAGAATCACTCAAACAGAGGTATCTTGTCATTCAGTCATTACTGGGCTTTCTCGAACCAGCCCACGGTGGATAGAGCATCAGACGCTGAAGATTCGAGTGCGCTTCAATTTCAGTTTTCTCATAGGTCATCGTACGTGTGGCTGTGGTCAATGCGGCATCCGTGGGAGGCTTTAAGCGGAGGTTGGATCATCACCTAGTGAGATAATAACTGCGTCCGAATGGTCTATCCCCTAATACTCACATACCGTATGGTTAGTGGGCGCACTTCTCAACTCGTCCCGCACCACTGTCTATTCTCACTTCTCCAACTCTCCTGGCCTCCCCACCTGTCTACTGACTTATTCTCTTGTTATTTCACAGTCGTTTCTCTGCGTTTATTCTGAATTGATAAATTCCATTATCTATCCGTTTGTGCATTTTCTGTTGAAAGTCTACATAGCCTACACTGATTATATCTACTGTTGCTCGTATTAATTTTATATCAATTTCTGATCACCCCGGACGACCACAGGTGGGGGGGGGAGAAGGATCAACGCGCTTCCTGGCAGTAACATGGTCTCAACACATCGCATAATGCAAACTACACATAACCAATGCCCACACCATTCACCTTGGAGTCAACCAAAGCTACGCCAGTCGAGTGATGGGACACACGAGGCACAAGTCTACCAAAGATCAAGATATTTTGCTACCTAGCGAAGAAGTGGGGACAATGAAATCAAATTGGATTACACTAGCTCTTCAAAGCGATATTGGATATTGGTAGCTTGTTTAGTCAGATCATCGGGCGCCGAATCAGGTCGAACTGGTGTAGTGCGGTGACTACTGTTCCTGTTGGTTTTGGTGTTACCATTCCCACTACTACTGCTACTGCTTGTGCTGCTGCAACTGCGACTGGTGCTGCTCATACGTACTTGGCAGGATGTCGGGCAGGTTAGGCTGTGTGTCTTTCATTTGATTGTTGCGAGAATGTCTGTGTGAGTATGGGATTTGACGGTGTGCGTGGTTCTGCATGCTGTCGAGTAATTGACGACCGTGCCTACTCTTAATGGCTATTTGATGGGTTAAAGGACCTTGTTTACAGTGAATGTCGTCTTGGAAATGAATGCATGTTGTCATTGATGCAAGAGGTGTGTGTTGCCTGATGTAGAGATGACGCCTGAGTGCCATACTGGGACTGTCGTCAGGAGATAAGATGTGTGGTGTAATAGTGAGGATTATTATTATTGTTGTTGTGTGTGTGTCTGTGTGTGAAGGAAAGAAGGTAGATATACTGGCGTTAACGGCAGGGAGTTATTTCCCAGTAATGTGAGGCTGTTAGAGACGATAGTTGGTGAAGTGAGCTTACTTCGCGATAGATTTGCGTGTTGAGGTTGTTGCTGAGTGTAAATTATGTTGTATGCCTGATTGTTTATGACAGTCGTTGAATCACTAGGTTATTCTGTTGTGTTTTGTAGAGGCTTTTACGGACCACCTCGTGGACGTGGAGGATATGATGGTCGTGGAGGTCCTCGCGGACCGGATGGACGTCGTGGGTGTGGGTGAGTCTGGATTTCTTATCATGACTTTCCACGATTGTGAGATTCCATGATATTGTGATGCATATTTTAGTTTGGGAATAGACGACGAGTTGGTGAAAAGCTGAGGTGCAGGATATCATTTTTGGCTAAGACATCACTCATATGACTTTGCCCTGTGTTTCTGGAAGCATTAGAGGTAAGATAAGCTACCTAGTGAGTCATGACTATTGATGTCATCTGAGTTTCGGTGAAACGAGTTTGATGCAGTAGAGTGAAGCTTGACAAATGGGTGGAGTAGTTTGTTTCTACAGCGAAAAGTTGATGCATTAGATAAGAATAGGTGAAACTGAGGGCTAGCTAGTTGTAGTTGTTGTCACTTCGACACCTGACTTCATATCAATTTGTCTCACATTGAGTGATGTTTAACTGATGAGTTTTGATTTTCAATTTCAGCTTCGATGAACGAGAGTTGTACGGGTGAGTTGGCGTAACGAGTTTGTGTCTGTTGTGCTGTGATACGTGTTGTGTAGTCTGTCCTTATCGTGCATGTTACTTTGCGAAACATTTGTTCTCGTTTTGTTTCAGTCCGCCCTCGAGTTGTCAAGGTGGAAGAGGTCGTGGTGGACCACGAGGTGAAAGAGGATATGGTAAGTTGGCAGGTTTTTCCCTCACGTAGTTTTTGGTGTGTTTCTGGAGTACGTTGGATGCGTATGATTCATTAGGAAGAAAGTGGCCGATTGAGAGGGTATTGACTCGCTTGTGCTTGTGTAATGGTGGATATGTGCTGTGTTGTGTGCACCTGTCACTAGACGTGAGTGATTGCAATCCAGTGTGTTGTAGAAACCAATGTGGATTCTCTGGAAGTGGTTTTCTCTGCATAGAGATTGGAAGCTTTTCGGATCTAGTGTAGTGAAGTTTGTACCTAGTTACTAGCCTGATGTGGATGATTGGGTTTGCTGTTTAGTGAGAGATGTGTTACTTTATTGTGATTGTATGTTCATGGAGTTACTCGGATTTCCGGAACGTGAAGCGCACGAATAATCGAAGGCGGCTTTAATGGGAAGCAATCGTGCCACTTAGTGAATCAGATTAGTGTGTATGTTGTATGGTATTGTGGTTGGACACCGTTCAGAAGAGCTTTAGTTGCGGCCTTTCTCGAGGATGTGATTTTCGGCAGTGTGAAGAAGCAGTTTTATATGATTTTGTCACCGTTTTCATTGTGTTGGAAGTTAAAAGTGTTGTTTCTCTTGCAGATCTTCACAACCTACTGAGTATCCATCATTTCAACGTAACCCGTCAACAGATCGGTAAGTGTATATATGTCTTTGTCTAACTGTTGTTTGTGTTGAACCGTGTACACACGAGTGAGTGAGTGGCAGTCATCATTGGATTGAGTTTTGACATTTGAATACGAGTTAGCGCAGACGTGACTGACTATGTATGAGTTGATCTTGTGATGTGAAGGTTTCACCTCTGATCGAATCTGTTAGGCAGGAATATATGAGAGTGTGATATTAACGTTGACAGTGTTTCTATTGTGAAAGCTACTAGATGAATTAAGAAATAGCCCTGTATATGTGTATTGTGTTTCATGCTTCAGGTCACGTGTTGGTGATGTTCCAGGGGTGTGGAAGAAGCCTGCATGGAGCGCGCATGTACCTTGTGAACGTGGTGACATAGCATCGTCATTACGACTGGAAAACGAGGCTACCTTGGAAGCTGCTCGCCAAAAGAAAAGCCAGTGTATGAAGATAGCTGTGTGAGTAGTATCCGCCGTTTTGTCTTTCCAGATTCCACAAGATGTGTTTTGTGTTGCTGCTGCCTAACTGTCTAATTTTGTATTGATTGTTTCAGGTGTGACGTGTCTTGTGAACTTTCAAAGTAAGTTGAAATGGAATAAAGTGTAAGAGTAGTGATTGGCCTCATTGCTTCCTTTGATTGATAACGTTGGTGAATGAATTTCTTTACTTCAGACTAAGCATGCAGAGGCCACTGGGAATTCCAAACAGACCAGATGAAGGTGGCACAGTCGGGAGAACAGTGAGAGTTACTTCAAATTGTTGGGACCTTGCTTTCCATCAGAAGACGGTATATTTGTACTTTGTTGAGGCGATCTCAGTATACCGTCTGGACTCAAAGGAGGGCAGTAAGACGGAGATAAGAATGCCACCGAGGGAGTTGCGATCTCTGACACAACAAGTAGCTAGCTCGTAAGTGCAGTTATGCTTTCATCTTGAAATACGTTGTTTACATATGTATTAAAACTTTGTGTTGTATTTGTGTTATTGAGGTCAGTTGTTTGCTTGACTTGTTGTAGTGTGTGATTGCTATCATTATAATGTGCTTGTCAAGGAGAGATTGGTACAGGTTTGGGATGAGTTGTTGTTTCATGTCCTACGTGATTGACTGAATAATGACTTTCGCGAATATCAGATGCGTTTATGAAAAGATGGTAGAGTCGTTCGGTATGGCTTAAGTTGACACTGATCGTGTCTGTTGATGAGTCTGATGCTAATGAAATTTGCTTGTATGGTTTGCTTTTACAGCTTTCCAGATACGGTGGTATATGATGGAGGGCACGCAATATACTCTGAAGACCCGTTAACGGGTGTTACAACGGACCCTGTGGAGAAGGAGATGGAGATCGAAGACCCGCTTGGTCGTGATCGCCTTCTCCTAAAGTATCGTATTATGGAAGTACAGCGAGTGTCTACTTCTGATGTTGATCATTTTATAAAGAATCCGAAGGCGACTTCGATGAATATGCCCCAGGTGAGACGAGATTAGATTTGTTGTTTGACACTTGGTTGTAGGAGTCCATCAGGCTACTGGATTGTATTCTGAAAACAGTCTCTAGACAGTCGTTCGTTTCTGTTGGACGTTCAGCCCTGTTCGAGGCGAAACCGATTAGAGTTGTCGCGGATAAACTCTTCAGCATCCATAAAGGTTTTATTAGTAGTGTGCGACCTCAGTGGAAGGTCCGTGTAAACTTGGATATGGTAAGTGATGATATTGCTTGTTTTGACACACTATGACAGACGTGCAAGGCGTACTTTACGTCTGAGAATTTGGCGTTGTTATTTCCGCGTTGTTGATGATGCACTAGGACTGAGTACTGACGACGTGATGATGTTGCTTACTCATGATGCAAGAGGCGGAGAGAAGTCGAGGAGAAGGAGGAGGAGCATGTTGAATGAGTGCTCGTTAGGTGATTTCCACTGTCAGCAGCTAACTTAGTTAGCTTTCTCAACACTGGAAACTGATTTCCATCTGCACACAGGGATACGTTGGAAACTAGGGATGAGAATGGAAGCATGATATTAGACGAGTTGTTTGGTTCGAGGTGTCTGATATCCGTTGTGTTAGCCGAAATTGTAAACGTGGAGAAACATGAGTTGAGTAGAATAGCCCTCGTTGAAATAAGATTAAGCCAGGGAGTTTTGTAGGTGCAGAAGCAGACAGCCGAGGCTTTGTCGTACGTCTAAAATTGTTAGGAAGGGGGAACATTTCATCGGTTATTTGTGTCAATCTCTAGGTAGTGATTACTCGTCACAGAACATGTAATTCGCCACACGGAGACATGAGAATTAGAGTCGTGTTTGTTAACCGTGTGATGCTAGTGAAGAGGTGTTGATTGTGGACTAAGTATGCCTAGATGGAGATAATAGTGTATGTAGGTGATGTTATTTGAGAGCCCGGTATTATATTTCACTTTAATGTCTTTATTGTTTGTGATAATGAGGGTTTCTGTTGACTGGCATGACAACACTTGTTTCATTTCTTTCATCCAGGTCATGCCCACTGATCGAACAATTTGGTTTGGCGATCGAGCCGAGGCCAGTGGAAGTGAAGGCACGTGTTCTGCAGCCGCCAAGTGCTAAATTTGGTCGTTCCGGTGTGCAACCGCTAAAGGCAGGTAGCTGGATGTCACCTGACTTTCATGAGCCAGCTGGCAAGGGAGTGGAGCTGATGTGGGCCATACTTTGTGTTCCACCTAATCAGGTATATTGTTCACTCGAGTTGTGTACGAAAGACGGTGGCGATGACGACGACGACGATGAGTGATTAGTGTAGTGTAGTGTAAGGAGGAAGATGTGTGCTGCCATCACTTGAGCATTGAATTCACATTCTAGATGCAGTGATTTGTGAATCGTAGTTAACTTGACAATATGGAGGCGTGTTGTTTGATGACAGGCACGCCACTTCGTTGTTCACAGCACCGGGCATATCACTGCGTGATATCATCCGTGTTGATGTGTCAGTGTTTAATGGTGTGTATAGAATGCTGGATTTTCACTTTCCTGTTAGTCAAATAGGTGAAGTATTTTGGAAAAACTGACTGTCCACTTGATTGTGATGCGTGTTGTTGAGAGGCAGATGTTGTTATTGTTGTTATTATTATTATTATTGTTATCAGCCAAGTGAAACGCTTGTACTAAGTGCCTATTTCGCCTACTATGTTTTCTTTGTAGCGGTCTCAGAGTCACATACAAAAGGTGATGTCAGAAATGCCTAGAGCAGGAAGTCGCTTTGGGGTTCGTCTAAGCCCTCGACCTATTGTGGCACAGTGTCCTACAGGAGAACTTGGCAGAAGGTTTGAAGATTTCAGTAGACAAGGCTGTTCGTTTGTGCTTCTAATCTTGTACGACGAGCGGAACTACTCGGCAGTTAAACGCCTGAGTGACCTGCAAATGGGTATCCGTACACAGTGTGTACTTGGTCGTACTCTGGAGAAGGCGAACGTTTGCCGTAAGTGCTTGCTACTACTGTTTACGTGTGACGTTTGTTTTCTGTTTGTGTATTTCGACAAGCTTAACTTTAACTAATGGGATTAATTTGTGCTTTGTTCAGCGAACCTGTTACTGAAGCTGAATGGGAAATTGGGTGGTGTGAACTGGCAGATCCCCGACCTGATTAAGAACAGTGGTGAGTTGCTGATGGTGTTTGGGGCGGACGTGACCCATCCGGCGCCGACACAAACTCATGGTGAAATTCGGAAGTCGGTGGCTGCTGTTATTGGTAGTGTATCACCGGATCTAATGAGGTACGCTGTGGTGATCCGCCAACAGGCGACGACAGAAAAGGGGAATAAGGGAGCGAGAGAAATAATCGACGACATGCGTGTTATTGTGAAGGAGTTGCTTGAGGTTAGTTTTCATTGTGGGCCAACTGTGAAGTGATTGATGTTGCTGGTGTTGTTGTTGTTGTTGGAGCACGCTTCTGTTGTTGCTTGTTTATGTTGTTGTTTTGCAGGTATACTTGCGAAATACGAACGGTCGTTTCCCAACGCGTATAATATTCTATCGTGATGGCGTCTCGGAAGGCCAGTTCGAGAATGTGTTGGTAGAGGAGTTGGCGGCGATCCAGAGAGCTTGTGCAGACATTCGTCCTGGTGAAGAACCCGCGATCACGTATATTGTTGTGCAGAAGCGTCACCACATTCGGTTTCGACCGAGCGAGCCTAGGTAAGTAGGAGGTGTTTACACACATGATGTTTTGTGTGGAGCCACTGTATCTTTGTTGTTGTTGTTGTTGTTGTTGTCCTTGCTCACGTGTGTGAGGGCGTTCGTGTTAAGAATAACGATTTGTTGTTTCGATTGTTTTTGTAGGGCGAGAAACGTGGAGCCAGGGACGGTGGTTGATACAGACATCACACATCCCAGGGAATTCGATTTCTACTTGTGCTCACAAGAAGGGATTCAGGTAAATTGTTGTTGTTAGCCGATGAATATGATTGCGTATTTTGTAGGGCACTTCGAAACCTGCTCACTATCACGTTTTATATGATGACAGTGACTGGACGTCGGACGGTTTGCAGTTGTTCACCTACCACCTATGCTATGCGTATATGAGGTGTTCGCGTAGTGTCTCGTATCCAGCGCCAACTTATTATTCTCACTTGGCTGCATTTCGTGCTCGTGAATGGTTATCGGACGTGGAGAAGCCAGAGATTCTGTTGGACGGTGGTCGTTTTAAAGTTCACAGCAGCCAAGTTGACGGGATGTTTTACTTGTGAGGAGATATTTTATTTTTATATAAATTGCACTTTATTTTAATCCTTGTTGTTTGGCTTTTCGATTTAATTGAGCGTAGTTTGTTGAAGAGATAGTTAATTGTTAGGGTGCGATCACGGTCACGGAGTAGCATATAGGTGACGGTAATGGTGTGATGATACTGGTGAAGACGCGTGCACACCTGACAATTCGATTACTGATTCTAAGATATTGTCTGTATGGGACGTGTGACGATGTGACTGTTCGGATTGTAGTTTTGACTTCTACGTGCGTGATTTGTCTGCTAGTGATGTGATGATGTGGTGTGAGGACGTGGGATTCGAGCGGGTATGTGTGTGTGTGTGTTGATGACAGATGTGTGATGGAAAAGTTGTATTGGATTTAAGAGATTTATGTTGAGCTTGCAAATGTCTAGACGTGAGACGGTAGGAATGTGGTTGTAGATAGTTTGAGCGGCGAGTGTAGTCAGCTTGTAAGTACGTTTGGAATTCTTTCTATGGATGAAATTGTGTTTTCGCCAAGTGATGATAGGAGGGTCAATTGACCAGAGTTAGTGTGGAGAATCCACTTGACACTGTGTTTGTGTGGGTGTGTGAGTGAGTGAGTAATTAATAGATGTGACTGTGATGTCTCACGGTTCAGTGACACCACTTGAATGAACAACTAGTTATCAGAGAAATAACTCAAATGTATGGAGAATTGCAAGTCGAATGACATGGCTGGTGGTGATAGTAATAATAATAGTCATAGTAATAGTAATAACGGGAATGAAAATAATAGCTATAATAGCAATAGTAATATCGATGAATCACACTAATGCGTACAGATGCTAATGACAACAAGGGTGTATGTAACCGTCCTGACAAGGGATGGTTTCAGATGAATGAAGAATAATGATGATGGTGTGATGACGATGATAACAAGAGAAAGAAGAAGAAGAAGAAGTAGTAGGAGGGGAGATAGAATGTGAATATTTGTGTCACTAATAATATGAACGGTCAGTATGCAAGACATGCCACCATGTTGGATTCAGAGTGACGACCGTTTCGTTGTGTACATGAAGACTAGTGATATAGACGCTAATTGCACACGCCTCCACTCCACAGTTGAAAGCTGCTATCTGGTTGTTTGTCTGTTGACACGAGATCAGTTGGTCTGTGAATGTGTGATCCAAGAGACGGTCTGAATCTCTGACTCGAGGCGTTATCATTCTATGGAATTACTATCGCGTAGGTAGCCGATTATGCCTCAGTAGAAGCCAGGAAGTGAGTATTTATCAAGGTGGTCGTCTGCTTGAATATATATATTTTTGCTTGTCTTCACTTCATAATGCTGTCCCTGAGTCACTCTCTGTGTCTGTTGTGCATAGTGTATGATTTTCTTCCGCGTGGCATATCTCTTGGTGACGATGTTATGCTGAATTCGCGTTTCATTAAAGTAATAGAATGCATAGGAACGATATCAAAATTGATTGACCAACACAAAATTACTAAATATTATAATTAAGGGGGAGATAGAGAGAAAGAGAATTGGTTTTAGGAGGTTTCCAGTAGCTGGGTTTGTGACAAAAGTCCACAGGACTATGATAAGTTGGAGTTAACATGAGAAGGGTATCTGTTGACTTTTGACTGCACCAAAGAGCATGTTGTCCGATAGACGGGAACCAACTCAGCTGCAGGATAGGCTCTAGCTAGTGACGTACTCAGTCGTCTGTTGACTATTGCCGCAACATATTCACCTTTAAAATCTTGTTGAATGAAGACAGGCATGTTTTCCAGTGTGATTTGTTTGATGTTTGAGCCTTCACATCTTCCATATTTGTTAATGAGTCTTAGAAGGTAACCGTTGCTTTTCAATACCTTTTCGAGAATCGTAAGTTCTTCCCCTAATTCCTCTGCAGAGCACATTCTCCTCGCTGTATAGTACAGAGTCTTGACCAGTGCTCGTTTATGGCTATTTGGACAAACACTATTAAAATGTGAGTATTGTCCATTCCATGTTGGCTTTCGGTGAATTGACCTCTGGAGACTACCATCTTTTAGGCGTTGTATGACAATGTCAAGGAAACGGAACTTTCCGTCATTTTGATGTTCCATTGTAAATTCAATGCTTAGAAAAGACAACAGATTGGGCGAAGAAGTATATTCCTTTTCAATTAGTTCCTCATCATAGACTGGCTCTACACTAATATATAGTCGTTTTTTACATGAAATTCTTTTACCAATCAAGTGGTTATTTTAGTGAATCAGTTCTCGGTATAGACGGGGGGTGAAATCGACAGGTTGAGTGTCATCAAAACAAATAACTAGTAGGTGTTAGCAAGAAGATGTCTAAGTTACAAAAGAGGGGTGAAAATTAATTACGGAATTCAAGATAGGTTGATTGTTAGGCGTTGGCAACAAGTTATTACATGATCAAGAAATTCGCAAGATAGCAATGATGACTAAGAAGAATAGGATAACCCAGAAGAGTCACGCAAAATACAAACAAACAAGTTAATAGAATTAGCTAGAATTGTAAAAATTAACAAAGTCGAGAGATAGTTACAAGGGGAGGGGGAAAATCCTTTTATAAACTTAATACATATTGTGTAGTTGGCCATGGCAAAGAAAGGGGCTGTACAGATTTCCTTTGAACACAGATTTGGCCTGTTCAGATGAATTCCGATTGCCTCTGCTGTATGTAAAAGTCGTACTCGTAGACCATGTGGCGAGAGGTTGGGTGATATACGATAAATAACTTTAAAAGCTTTGTTGGAGTCGATTTGATGTCCAGCCAGTATCGACGAGATGAGCTAGTACTGAGCTGCGTATAGCGGCTTTATTCGAACGTTTGCCATACCAAGATGGGAGGTGTTCAGAAATTCGACGATGAACTTGCCTGATCGTACGCCTTATGTAACTAGCTGTGCATGCGCAGCTAAACTGGTAAATACATATGGAAGAGGCGAGACAGGTCAGTCTGTCTTTATTTCTTGAAGTAAATATTGGTCGGCTAGTGAATACACAAAAGGCATCAAGAGGCTTTTAAGCATTTGAAAGAGAATGAGAATATAGTTATCTGCAGACCTGACAAAGGCTTGGGAGTCGTTATCATGGAGAAGTCTGATTACCTTACCTTACTGTACCTTACCTTACCACACTGTACCACTAGTACTGTTTCTGGAATAAAGCAAATTATTATTATTATTATTAACAAAAAAAAATGCAGACTTAATTAAGTGATGCATGCAAACTACAGAAACGAACAAAGATACAATGGCGACAGAGTCTTTAAAAAAGTTGAAAGAAGAAGGCCATATTTCGTCTGCTTTGTATGAAACACTAAAACCTGCAAGCACGGTGATACACAGGTAATACGGCTTGCCAAAGAGTTACAAAAACGACTTGCCACTCAGACCAGTCCTCGATATATCTAGCTCACCATATCATTGAACTGCGAAATGGCTGTCGGCACATTTGCAGCCGTTGCAGAAGAAACTTGTGAAAAATAGCGTGAAAGATAGTTTTGAGTTTGAAGAAAGAATCAAGGGATTAAATGTGAGGGACAAATATATGATATGACTGGATGTATCTTCCTTATTCACCGATGTGACTTCGATGGAGACAATTGATTACATAGGTAATGAATTGATAAAGCGAGGTATAGAGATTGGAATTCCTGTGTCTTCCCTAAAGGAACTTCTTCTAAGATGAACAATGAACGTAAATTTCCTGTTCAATAGAAAAATGTACAGACAGTCAGATGGTGTTGCCATGAGATCACCACTAGGCCCAATCGTAGAAGATTTTTTCTTGGCGAAACTAGAGAATGGTCCACTTAAAGATGTTGGTGATATATTGAAAGTTATTAATAAATATTGTTCCGTCTGTTCGTCTAGTCATTGGGATAGAGTCATTTTCTTCTTCTCCCTTAGTGAAGTTTATGCTGGGATGTGCTCTATTGAATTGATATAATATCTTCTTAGTCTCACTTTGTTGGAGAATTAATTCTCTGAGCAAAGATTCATCAAACAACTAAGTGGGAATTGAGATTTTTAGATATTCAACAATCTAAGAACCTGTAAATCCCAATAAAGATGGACGACATTCACTAACAAGAAAGGGGATATTCACAAAACTACCACTGTCTGATTTCAAACCAATGTTAGTAGTACCAACAAGGGGTAATTTATGACCAGTAATGCCTGTAATGGGATTAGTAGTAGGGTCTACCTTGGCATGCTTACAAAGCGATAGTCAATCCTTCTTAGAAATTATAGATTCAGTACTCCCGGTATCAATGATAAAAGAATGGGACTTGCCTGAACTTGTAGTGAAGCTTTTCATCAGATGAGATTCAGTGCTGTGAGAAGTTGAAAGAGATATTGACTGTATTTTACCAGAAAACTTGGAAGAATCATGAGAATTCTGAGTAGTGAAAGTATTCGAACTCCGGTAAGTAGGCTCTGTGTATGTGTCCAGTCTTACCACATTTATGGCACTTACCACCCCGAAAGTGGCAAGTGCTTCATAGATGAATCTTTCCACACGGAAAACACGTTTGATATTTTGCTGTCTGCCTGCATTCTATCAGATGTGAATGACAGTTTAGATTTGATTTTATGAACACTTGCATTATCAACTTTTGACAGCATCACATCAGACACCGACGTAGTGGGAGCTGGGTATTCATTGTTGACATCTTCATATGTAAGGCATATATCCTTAGCAGTTTGAAAGGTGCAGGAGGGAATCTTAATCAACTCATTCTCTAACTTCGGAATATTGATCCCAGCAATTAGACGATCACGTAGTTGAGTATGGAGCTGATCTCCGAAGTTGCACTTTGAAGCTTGTATCTGAAGCTGGAGAGTAAAGTCTCTAATCTTCTGGTTGGGAGCACGAACAAGTTTGTTGAACTGACTCCTCTCTCGTGTTTCAAAAGTAGTTCTATGGAAGTGATCTATTAGAAGTTCACGGAGCTCATCATGTGGCAGAAAAATTGGTTTAATAATAATAATAATAATAATGACTTTATTCCACAACAGTAACAATTTACAGCA